AAATGATAAAATGAGGAAAGCTAAGTAACTTGAGAGAAATGTTAAAAGGAAGGTTCTAGAATGAGGCAAGTGTTGAAAAGTACTAGAAATAATAGCCAGCTCAAATTGGATACTTACCATGTGTCTAGTGCATAGAAGCACTTTGTAGTTACAATATCATTAAAACTTCAGAATACCCTCCAGGGTTATGGACACAAAGGCTTCCTAAAGGCTTCCACACCAGGAAGAGTCAGGCAGGATGTCTTCAGTTACACGAGAGCTTATAAATGCTATGGCGTGCTGTTGGCTTCCGCAGACCTCTCTGGAAGCAGTCACTGTTACAAAATCCTTAGAGCTGGTTTCTCTCGTACAACTTTAATTTGCCAAATAGACTTTGATATAGCCACTGCCAATCTTGGAAACCTTCCGTTTTGATATTTCCAGGTTGTCAAAAATCTGTATTTGTTTCACAAGCAAAGCTGTTTTTGTTAAAGTAAGAAAAGATATTACAAGCACCTTCTTTAACCCTCTACAATAGAAGGCTTCTTTCTAAAACTAAGCTAAAATATAATCAAATAAAAAAAAACCTACAGGCAAATATACAGTTACCCACATCCCACACCACTGCCAGTACTAATTGTCTTTTGGTATGACTTCTATGAAGACTGTCCCCTACATTTAAACTTGGCCATGCATGACACACTTCTGAGCTGGGGTGGTCGAGCTGAGCTCCCTAGCTCCCAAGGGAGATTCTAACCAAGAAATCTTTCTCAGAGTGTTGCTTGTTTTTCTGTCATCTCTTATGTGTTAATTCTGTTATCACATGGTTCGGAGTAACTGCTGGCTCCTGCCATGTTTGCCTTCCCCAGCCAGGAGGGAGGAGGAGGGAGAGGGCACGTTCATTCCCTTGGAAGACAAGAACAAGGAACATTGATGATTTGTTCTCACATCTGTGTTACTCAAGCTTGCATCATGGCAGCTCTTGGTGCTGGCACACAGTTGTGGCAGATAATAGTAGTCATTTTCTAGTATCCACTTTTTCTTTCTTTTCCCCAAAGGGCAATGTAATGGTTTCTCTAAAGTTTGCTAACAACTGACTCTTGACAAAGTCTCTATTCCCTCGGCCCCTTTGCTGCAGCGATGGGCATCTATAGTACCCTTTCCTGGCCTGACAGTGCATCTCAGCACTGGATCCACATCTGGTCGACCACTCTGCGGTTTTAATATCACGTTACTACTTACAAAAGGAATCAATCTTTCCAAAGTCCCGGAACAAAACCCTTGGTGGAGCCGGTGTCTGTATTCTCAACATTAGACCATGGTAAGAGCAAGAGACACTGAGAAATACTATATTGATTTGGAATTCACATGTTCAACCAAATTGTGGATTTTTTTTTTACAAAGAGACAATCAGTTTAGAAATTAAAAAAACAATTAAAGTTCACTCTTACACTTAATCAGAGCATGTGATGCACTAGAATAGTACTCAGAAATGACAACTGTGCTCTTTTTTATTTGAGACAGGATTTCTCTGTGTAGCCTTAGCTGTCCTGAACTCACTTTGTAGACCTGGATAGCCTTGAACTCACAGAAATCTGCTTGTCTCTGGCTTCCAGAGTATTAGGATTACAGGTGTGCACCACTGCGCCCAGACCTCTGTAAACACTGTATATACATATTCAAAATAAAAAACAATGGAAAGGCAATAAGCTCAGAACTCTACTTGACCAGAAAAGACACAGTATACCCAACAATAGTAGAAAAATGAGTCTGACGATGACTAAACATTAATGGCATAGAAACTATATCAAAATGGCGAAGAAAACTAATACCTGTTGCTTGAAAAGATGAATTAAGTGGACAAGAGAACAACCTTTGACGAACTAAGAAAAAAAGAGGAAAGGTACAAGAAAAAGCTGTTGTTGAGGCTGGGGAAATGGCTCAGTGGATAAAGAGCTTGCTAAACAAATATGACAGCCTATGTAAAATTGGATGCTGCAGCAGGCATCTGTCATCCAGGCACACCCAAGGGAAGATGGAAGGCAGAAACAGGGGAGTCCTTAGTAGTTTGTGAGAACTGGTGTGCCAACATAAGAGACCCTGCCATAGGTAGAAAGGACACTCAAAGTTGATCTCTGAGACCCATACGTGTGACAGACAGACACACAGGTGGACACACATACGATTAAAACTAAAATTTTAAAAAGAGAAAATTGAGATTAAGGAAAGAGATTTTATTATACGGAATGATCAGTTAATTACATAATTATATGTGATTGTTGCTAACCAACCTGAGGACCTATGTAAGGTTGTTTTATTTTTGTTTTGTTTTGTTTTTTTCCTAGAAAAAAATGTTGTATTGAGATGAATAAGAAACAAGTGGTGACTCTATGGCAGTGCTTGCCTTAAGGAATCAAACATCTGTCTACCCTTCCTCACCTCTGTGCCCACCCACACATACCCTTTGTAACTCATGGCCAGGAAAATTTTTAGTCTGCATTTTACTGCCCTGTTTACAAATAACCGTTAACATCTATGAATCCAAGCTCTGCAGAGGAAGAAAGTTCCTGTTCTAGTTTTGACAACAGCTTCATTGACTGCCCAGGGGTCCCTTCGAGCAATAGGATTTACATTTACAGGCTTCTGGGAATATGGCCCCTGACCACGCACAGCCCAGCCCCCTCCCTAGGAACTGCTTTGGTTAGAAGGGAGTGCCTTACCCAGTGTTCCATCTCCCCCCTCACCATAGAGATGGGGAAAAGCTTCCTGAAGGCTGGTAGGCTGGTACCCTACTAACTGATCGGGATCCCCAGCCTGTTAAACACACACACACACACACACACACACACACACACACACACACACACGACAGTGAGAGAGAGAGCTTTCATCATAAAAAGTACTGAATCTGTGATAGATTTCCATCACTGTGACAAAATACCTGAGACTAACAAAGGAAAAAAAAAAAAAAAGAAAAAAGTTTTATTTTGGGTCACAAACCTTGGGGGTTTCAGTCCATAGTCACCTGCTCTATTGATGTAGGCCTGGAATGAGGCAGAGCATCATAGCAACAGGAGCCTAGGAGAGAGGAGGTTATTTATCTCAATGGCATAAAAACTTCAGAGGGAGGAAGAAGAAGACAGCGATAAAAGGAAAGGAGGTTAAGGAAGTGGAGGGTTAAGATACATTCACAGGTATGCTTCATCAGGACAACTGTCCCACGTCTATTTAGTCATGAACTCATAGTGGATTAATCCACTGATGAGGACAGAAGCCTCATAGTCCAGTCATCTCTCAATGTCCCACTTCTGAACACTGCTGCTCTGGAGACCCAACTAAGCACACGAGCCTTTCAGGGATCCTTCATATTAACAGCATGAAAAATCATAAGTGTCTTTTTGAAATTAAAGGTAGCTTCCCGCAACACTATCTGGTATATTACACTATGAGCTGAGTGTGTGACAACTCACAGGCTTGGAGAAAAACTCACAAAGATGGTACATTGCCCTTAGCCCCAGAAGTTTAATCATGGCAACTGATCATAGAGAGATTTACCTCTGTGGAGAGTGTTCTACCAGATCTGAGTCTTTCCTCAGAAATGTTTCTATCTGTAGGATTTTTTTTTTTTGGCAACCTTTTTTGTTCGCCGTGGTGGCCAGTGTGGAGGTCCATCTTATCTCTAAGGTTAGCAGCAAGGAAAAGGAGCAGCCCTCTTCCTATAAAATGAGACAAGGCAGCCTGTGGACAAGGCTGCTTGCTGCTACCGGATAGGTCAGACACTAAGTCCTCAGAGACATGAGGATGGAGGGATGCTGCAGGCGTGAGGATGCAGGGACCCTGAGGTTTCCAGAAGAGAACGGTGCCGGAATAGTGACTACGAGCTTCACTAAGAAATGCTGAGAAGATGAACCAGGGAGCGTGGAGGTGACACTAGTGTAAGTGAACAATGAGTTTAATCACACTGTCAAGTCCAGCTGAGCACCCAGGCTGGCTGACATGATTGGAGGAAGCAGGAGCGGGTATGGGCCTCACAGTGGGAATTATGTGGCAGTTGTGGCCACCTGTAGAGGGAGAAATCATTGTGATTCACATTTATAAAATACTATTTTTGGTAACTTTCTGTAGAAGACATTTTTTTTGCCCATGCATAGCAAATACTGGCACATCTCCAAATAGAAACAAAAAGCCAAAAAGCAGCGGACCAAAGGTAGACATAATCGACATTCTGACACTTTTTAGGTATTCTCCCTGGGATGGGTGGCTCATAGAGTAGCAATTAGAATTAGTCCAGGCTAGGTTTTATTTCTTTTGCAGGAGAAATGAAATGCTCTTTTGATTAAGGTAATCATTTGTATCTCCTTTTACTTTCTTGTCTATGATTTCCTCCTGTTAAAAATTATTAAATGAAACTTATATTTATTAAATTTTGACAACTTTCCAATGTTTACCCCAGTTTTTTAATAAAAGAGGCACCAAATGGTATGTTGTGATGTCAACTAAAATATTAAAAGTAACATTTTCAGCAAATAGAAAAATTTCACTATGAAAATAGTTGAACAATTAATAAGAGCCCAAGATACTTCCTATTATAAACACCCCTTTAAATGAGAAAAACTATAAATAAAAATTGCATTTGGACATTATCTTAAGTCTTAATTCATTAATTGAATTAAATGAGCCATCCAGTCAAACTAAAGTAAAACAATACATTCAATAGTACATGGGAGACACAAATTATTTATTTCCATTTTATTGTCAATATAATAAAGCCAAGAGAATCTGCAGACTGTGTGGCAGTGACTGAAAAGAAAACTAAGGATTCACAATCAATGCATAAGAACAACGTCATGTCTACCTTCATAAAATCTGTTCAGTAATTAGAAAGAGCCTAATAAAACATATACAAAGTCCTTTAAAGAGAAATGATTCTAAATATGTTAAGTCGTGTCATAGAGAAAATCATGTTGTACAGAAATCAAGTTCTTAGTATTTTCCTTAAAAAAGAAAAAAATTGCCCCCAAATTGCCCCCAGCAGCACTGTAGGTGTGGCTACTGTGTCACATATACATTAATAGATAGCTGAGAGAGACTATGTCTAACCTTAGTGTTCTGAGCCGTGACCATCTGAATGATTAATAGCCTAACATCCCCTGAAAAAACAGAGATGACCACCAGTCCTGGGCCAGAGTGCCCAGGCGGGAAGCTAGCCTAAGATGACCACTAGTCCAGCACTGCACAGGCCTGGGGAGGAGGGGACAGCCCATGCCTGCAATGACCCCTGCCCAGTGTCATAATGGGTGGGGCATAGCACTCCTGAGACCACTCCCGAGAGGACTCCAGGCCCTCAGAGACCCCAGATGCCACTAAGAGGAGCAAGTAACTGGTGCAGTAATGGAAAAGAAAGAGAAACAGAAGAATGTGGGCACAATGAAGAGAGGCTGAACTGGAGACTGGAGAGTAGTGAGGTGAGTAGCTGGTGATGCCACCTGGGACCATAGTCAGGTCCTGGCCCCTGCTGCCACCAGGGGCCATGGCTGGGTTCATGGCCCTGTAGTAGCAAAGATCTGTTCCCACCAAAGGTCAGGCAGACATCTCTGGTCCCGGGATGCCACCTGGGGACATGTTGATGTTTGAGGGCTGAGTAAAATTGGCCCCACCCCAATTAGTGGGATAGTGAAAGACCTGGCCCTGGGGATGTGAGAGCAGGAGAGCTGACTCCACCCCTAGCCAGCTGCAATATGGGAGAGTGCCCCCCTCCCCGTTTCAGGAGTTGTGGGAGAGCTGGCCCAAGAGCATGAGTGAGGTTCAGGCCAGCCCTGGCTACACAGAGAAACCCTGTCTCAAACCAAACCAAAGCAACAAAACCAAAGCAAACAAAGAAAGAAAAGCTTCTGGTTAGAAGCTCTCCTGATTTAGGAAAATGGCGGTAATAGGTTCTCCTCTAGGGTGGAGGACCTCTCTAGCCATGAATAGTTGGCTGGGCTTACAGTAGCAGGCATTAATTCCCTCCTATTGAACTGGACTTAATTCAACTAGACAGTCGTTAGTTTACCAAATATATAGGGATCACTATTGCTCGATTGGAGATAGTCTGCCAGCTAAGTCATTGCAGTCCATAGCTTTACAGATACGTAGAACTACTGAGAGCTTTTCTCCCTTGGCAGTGTGTGCAACACCTTTCAGTGCTATGGCAGCTGGTCCTCGAGGAAGAGGCTTGTAGGTCAGTTCCAGCTCAAGTCCTCAAAGTCCTGCCTGCGCCTAAAGTGTGTGATATCTTCAGCAACAGAGCCTTACCTTCAAGCTTTGGGAGACAACCAAGGGCAACAGCAAAGTTCTATAGTGTTTTTGGGAGTCTCTTGAACTCCTTTGACCAAAAATTCAAAGAGAGATTTCTCATGCCTGGCACTGAGGTTTTGTTCCATAGTTTATACTTACTGGGTGAAGCATTATCACTCCAAGTGGTGTAACTTTATTGAAACTAAACACACACACACACGCACGCACGCACGCACGCACGCACACACACACACACTTTTTACCTATCTCTATGGCTTTCCAAATACTTTTAGTGTAATTTATCTTTCTTCCTTCTCCTTCTGTATTATCCACACCCCTCCTCAGAGGGATAATACAGAGGCCTCAGGTTTCTTCCCTACCCCCCCTCCACAGAGCACCTAAACTCTACTAACCATTTATCTAAAGATAACCTCTCTACCCCTCATTATGCATGTGCAGCACGTTTTCATCCTCTATTCATCAGATGAAGGACATTTAGGATGTTTCCATTTCCTAGCTATTGTGAATAAAGTGGAAATCACCACGGCTGTGCAAGTATCTATACAGTAGGATCTCAAGTCCTTTGGGCATAGGCCAAGGAGTAGTATAGCTGGGTTCTATGGCAGGTCTGTTTTCAGCTTTTTGGTAATACTCTCATTTCCAGAGTGGCTGTACTAGCCTGCAACTCCACCAACAGTGAGTGAAATCTCCCTTCTCCACATCCTAATCAGCATTTGCTGTCTGTCGTTTTTTTGATCTTAGCCATTCTGACCAGGGTGAGATGGAATCTCAAGGTCGTTTTAATTTGCAATTCTCTGATTGATAAAGATCTTGAACACTTCTAAAAGATTTCTCTTGGGCATTTTAATTTCTGCTTTTGAGAACTCTCTGTTCAGATCCATTGCCCATTTTTAATTGTTTCTTTTTTAAATTTTGTTTTTGAGTTCTCTGTGTATTCTGGATTAATCCTCTATTGAATGTAGAGTTGTCATAAGTTCCTCCCACTCCCTGGATTCCTCTTCACTCAACTGAGTGTTTTCTTTGCTTTTTAGTTTTAGGAGGTTTCACTTGTCAGTTTTTGGCCTCAATTCCTGAGTGAATGAAGTCCTGTTCAGAAAGTCCTTCCTGCACCTATAGTCAGGTTCTGCCCATCCTAACTTCTAGCAGTTTCGGGTTTCTCATTGAAGTCTTTGTCAATTTTTGTGCAAAAAAAAAAAAAAAAAAAAAAATGTATAGATTATGATAGATATATGTCCAACTTCATTTCTGCATGAGGACATCTAGTTTTCCCAGCATCGTTTGTTGAACATGTTGTCTTTCCTCCAGTACATATTTTTTTGTTTCTTTGTCAAATATCAGATGGCTATAATTATGTGTATCTATAATACACCTGTATACCTAAGACCCGGAGAACATTGCAGAAGAAAGGGCGGGAAGATTGTAGAGCCAGAGGACTAGGACACTTGCTTTAAGACAGTGTCTTCTAACATGACAGAGATGCTGTGCCCACCAGATCTCAACAAGACCTGCAAAAATGATCACACAAATCGACATGCCTATGTAGATGTGGAAGTGTCTCGAGGCCCCACCAATAAATAAAGAGCTACAGGGAGGCAATGATTGCTGAGGGAGGGAGAGCCAGTTTACTCCAGCAATGAGCTTCTTATTGATTATACAATCCTAAGTGTTTTGTGTGTATGTGTGTGTGTCTGCTACAGAAGAAGATGTCATGAATTTGAGGAAGGGAAGACATGGGAGGAGTTAGAGAAAGAAAGAGGGGTGAAAATTTTATGTAATTTCTCAAAAAAAAAGTTTAAATTAAAAAGATAATAGTTCAGCTCCATGGATGGTGGCACATATTCATAAGCCCAGCACAGAGAAGTTTGAGTCAGGAGGACTGGGAGTCTGAAGTCATTCAGGATTGCACAGTTAGTATGAGACACTGTCTGAAACAATCAGCAATGAAAAACAGTTCAGGTGTGTGAGTGTGTGTTTATTTGCTTATGTGCTTGTATACATTTGTGTGCATATGTGTGTGATTGTATTTGTGTGTGTGTGTGTGTATATATATATATATATATATATATATATATATATATGTGTGTGTGTGTGTGTGTGTGTGGTATTTGTGACTGTATGTGAATATATTTGTGTGCATGTTTGTGTTTGCTTATTGTGTTTGCTTATCTGTGGTATGTGTGTATATGTGTATGTTTGTTAATGCATTTGTACATATGCATGCATGTGTGTGTTTTCACATGTTTGTATGTATGTGTGTTTGTGTGTATACATATGCATATATTTTTGTGTATGTATATGGGTGCATTTGTGTGTGCTTGTGTGTATGTGTGTCTGCCTATATACTTGTTTCTGCGTATGGGCTTGTGTATGTGCATGTGTGAGGATGTTTGTCTATATCTATGTATACGTATATATGAATGTATTTGTGTATATGTTTATGAACTTTCGTGAGTATGTTTGTATATGTATTGACGTGTGTGTTTGCTTATGTATTTGTATGTGTGTGTTTCTGTTCACATGCATTTGTGGTACGTGGGTATTTGTGTGTGTATGTGAGTTTGTTTGTGTGCTTCAGTTCAGGATGCATACGTAATACAAGAAAACTAATCTAAGAATCTAGAGAACATTCATGCACAGCTGCTATTAAAAATCCTGGCTAATGTTTCCAAAAGCAAATATTATGAGTCCTTTTAAAGAGGTGCTTAACTAGCAGTATTCAGCTTTGATCTAGGGTTCCAAGGTAAACTCAGCAACTTTTCCTCAAAGTAGCAACAACCCAGCATGTTGAAATTAGACGTTTGATTTCCACAAATCCTAGCCAAGAAGTTCTACAGGGGAAACTCTTCTGCTCCATTAAACTAATGTGGAAGAATAAAGGCCCAGATTGACCTGATAGGATTTGAACCCACGGTTTCAGGAAGTCTAAATGAGCCAAAGATTATTTCCTGGCAGGGAATACACATGGGTGCTAGCCTGCTTACTTTGACAAAGCTTTTAAAGATAAGGGTTCCAATGCTTCCCAACAGCAGAGATTCTCAGTGTTTGCCTCAGCGCCATAGGTAGATCTGAAAAGACCTCTGTTGGAACCCTTCCTGCGGGAAGAACAGGAACTAACTTCTTCGTGACAGGAAAGAGGCAGGGAAAGGCAAGCACGCAGTTCCATTACATCACAACCAGGGAACGGTAGGGAGAGACAATTTCACTCTAAGAAATAAGTTAGAAGCGGTAATTTTCTGCTCCCCCAGGCTGTGTGGTGAGGTGGTAAGAGTCAGGACTGAGGAGAAAGGCTCTAGGCTCCCGTTTTGCAGCTTAGATAAGTGCTTCCTGTCTGTGCTCAGGCACATTGCCTCATCTGTTTAAGGAGCCTTGATTAAGTGCCTCAATTACCCATCTAAAATAATAGCTGTTTCATCAGGGGTATTGTGGCATTTAATTAAAGCTATGAAGGGTAATGAGATCCTCAGATAAGAGCCTGTATAAACACTCAGAGATGTATGTCTGCATACAGACGTGCCACATACAGATGCCTGCTAGGCTGCAGAATTTGAATCACTGGGCAAAACTCTTCCTTCATCTCTGCTATGTGCCTAGTGTTAATCTTTTTGCCTCAGACTTAGAATATAAGTTTCTTCAAGGTACCATTCTCCAAGGATTGCCTAATGCTTATATGAAGTGCCTTGCTTAAGGGTTGAACACCATAGGCAATTCCTGTTCACCTGCGTTCCTGCAAAATTTCTTTGGACCTCAGACATGCATTTTTAAGTTTCACAAACTTTTCCTGGTGCTGATTAACCAACACTAACTGGTTATTTAATATTTCTAAGTAGGACACATGTCTAGTAGCTGTTCAT